CCCGTGTCCCCTGCATCGGCAGGCGGACTCTCAACCACTGCGCCACTAGGGAAGCCCCAGCCTGATGCATTTTAATGACTGATTCTCCCACTAGACTTTGAGCTTTTTGCAGGAAGGGACTGTGTCTTATTCACCTGCGTATTCCTAACATCCAGCCCAGCGCACCACATGTAGTAAGTGCAGTAAATGCTTGTTGAATGAGTGAATGAATGAATGGGTCAGTCATTAGGTCATCCCAGGGTTTTGATGGGCAAAAGAAAGTCCTATAACACTCGGAAAAGCCAGAGCTCTCAAAAAAAGTATCTCCCCCACCTGGTTTCAAAATCACAGCATCTTTCACGGAGATGCAGATAGTCCACTCTCCAGTGACTGGGTGAGAATTGGCCGGTCAGCACTGTGAAATCTACTAGGAGATAAAAGCCAAGAAGAGGACTTAAAGACTCCCAGACTTATTCTGAGGCTAGAAAAGTTTCTTCGCTTTGGTCTACATTTTTCTAGATGCTTAACTTTGTCCTCCACTACTTTTAAATGGATACCACTGGAAATGAGTGAAGAGATTTAGAATTTGAAATGCATGGAGCATGGGCGAATGAAAAATGCTTTATGTTATAACTCTATCATTTTAATCCTGCATCCATTGTATAAATAGATACTACTATTGACCTCTGCTCTGGATCATCCATTCCACCCCACCTCCCACCCAATCTACAACCAATGAGAGAACCTCTCTTGGCATGATGAATGGACCCAGAATTAGAAGAAGAAAAAAAAAAAAAAAAAAACTAAGAAAAATTCTACCGCTTTTGTGTCCTCTGACTCTTGATGGGGGGGCTTACCTTCTCACCCACCCCCCTCTTCTCCTGAAAGCCCCTAATGAGTTAAAGTATAACTAATACCATTCAACCACTTTCATCTGCTTGATAAAGAAAACTCATAGGTCAGCTCCCAGGTCTGAATTCTTGATCTCATCTTTCAGGCAGCTTTCCTTCCCCCAAACACCCTGGTTTCCATCAGGGACATCATGATGGACCACATTATCTAGACAACTTATGTAGCCTAATGGATGTGACCACTAGTACTAAAACCACTCCTCCATTTACTCATTTCCCCTACACTTTCACCAAACAGCCTAACTCAATTTTTTTAATTCTTCATATTAGCCTTTATTTGGTAGTATAGTTGCCCATCTTGTTTTCAAATAAAAGTGAATATGCCATTAATCTTGATAAGAGAAAGACCCTTCTCAGTGGAATAACAGAATACTAGGATGTAATGTTTTAGGAATAGTTTCTATTGTTGTTCTTAAACTTATGTAATTAGGATATCTACCAAACAAAGCTGGTCTTAATCTTTCATTCATTTTCTGTATCATTCTCTGACTATTAAAGTTACTGAATATTAAATGGACAGCTACATCCTCATTCTTTGACTAATATTTGTATGTATTTGCCCACAGGCCAAAGGACTACATGTACTCCGAGTTTGGTTAAATCTCTGGACTTTTCTGGGATCCTGATTCCAGTCTTAAACCTTGGGCCCTCTGGATGTCAAAATGGTCACATTTGACACTCAGACCACCAGAACTCGCTGCTGTTTCTGTCACTCCATCTACAGCAATGCAAGCAAAACATCCCCCCTCTTGCCTCCCAGGATGACCAAGTTTATCTTGATAGGTAGACCAGTCACATTAAAATAGCTTCTTTAGGAACTGACCAAGTCTTTGAAACAGATAGCTTTACATATATATTTGTTCCTATGGCATATTCCTAGACAAAGCTCTGTGCATGCACCTCAAAAGTGCAAATACTGGGCAGCTCCATGAAAAAGCACAGAGTCTGTTCTCCCACTTCTGTTTTCATTGTCTTAAGGAATTTCAAGGGTCACTCAGTGATGATCCACCACCCAAATGTCCATCTTCCCAGAGGCAAGGGCAGTAGCTCTCTCCTCACTGAAAAGGGCTTTGCAGCCTCTCCCCCAACCCAGAATGTAGAGCCCCAAAGAAGTCACCTTTCCTAAAACAGAACCTGAGGATATTGTTACAAAACTGTTTTTTTTAAAAAAGGCTTATTTCTTTCCAGAAATCGCTACTCCTTGTGAACTCTGCTTGAACCTAAGAAGCAGGAACGGGTCATAAATCACTTGGACAATGGTCAACTGTTCAGTGGCTCATCTTTTCGATTCCCCCCCCCCTTTTAAGGCTTTCTTTTCTCGCCCTTTGGTACCTCTGCTCATTTGGGCCCCCGACCCAAATGCCTTGGGGTGAAGACTAACTCGCGTAGGGGGAGGGGCGGTTTTCGAAGTCCTCAGCTGCCCTTTCCTCTCCTCCTGCCCTCTACCTCCCAATCCTGCTCCCACCCTACAACCAGCCCCCCACGCCGGCCCCCGGCCCCCCCGCCCCGCCCGGAGCACCGGCCGAGGCAGCCTCCCCAGAACCCCGCCGGCGCCATCCCCGGCTCCTCCTGGGGAAGGGGCACCAAACGGGGTTTGGCTGGTTCTTTCTCGTGGTCCCTGGAAGTTGCCCAGCTCAGCTCCGAGGCCCAACCGCAGGCCGGGAATGCAAGGCCAAACGGTCCCCAGCCGGAAGGAAGGCGGCCTCGGAGCGACCACCGCCCGTTCCCCGGGCCATGGTGGCCCGCCGCACCCGCCGCGCCTCCGAATCAGCCGAACCCTGATGCTTGCTCACTGCACTTAATTCTGCCCGGGATCAATACCTAAATACGATACCGAATAAATAAAAGGCGCTCACAGCGGCCGGGGAACGGAGTTATTAAGCAGCTGGAGCTCTCACGGTGCATATCAATGCACCTGTCATTGTGGTTTGTAGCAAAATTTATGACTGCGAGCACGGCTGCAGTAAACGCTTCAGTAAGGAATGAAAAGAAAAACACTTCCCAAGGCCTGGCACTTTTCAGAAGTGGAAAACAGGCTCCGCGTAGGAGGAAGCGCAGCAAAAGAATTCCCTGATCCGCACTTTTCCCTGCCCCGCGCCCCGCGAGCCGGGGGATTATATAAAGTGGCCGGTACCGGCCTCTCGGAGCAGCTCTGCTCGGCGGCCGGACGCGGGACGGGACGTGCGTAGCCTGGCCGGGCGCCGAAGACCTGCCGCCCTCCGCGGCCTCGGGAGGTCGGGAGGCTCGCCGGACGCGCGGAGGCCGGCCCCGCGCTGTTCGCCCGCCGCCCGCGGTGGCGGCGGAAAGGCCGAGGGGACTGGGGAGAGAGACGGATGCAGTCGTTGGGCTGTGACTAGCGCCGCGGTCGTCGTAAATCCCGGACGGGTAGAGTTAGACCGTGCGACTTGAAAGAGAAGGGGGAGGCGTTGAGTAACGGTTGCTTCTGTTCCTCTCAATTTTTTCTAAGGTTCGAGCTGGCCTCGGTTCCTCTCTCTGTTTTGCCTAAATCAGGGCCTTGGAAACCCACAGATCTCTTTCTGGCGGACACCAATATTGCTGGGCATCCGCATTAATTCACTGGAACCTAGCAATGATTCTTCCCTCTCTGTGGGCTTTACTACCTCGGGATTTCATTTTGAAACTACTACTTTTCGGGTTTGCTCAGAATGGTATGTATTTACCGCAGAGCTGAGGCAGCTTTCTGCCCGCGTTCTCCCGATCTCTCAGCCAGAGCTCTTCTGCCCTATGGGAAGCCCTGGACGCGCCTTCTAAATCACTCTTATTTAGCCCAGATAACTTAATATGTAATACACCCTGCATTTAAGGCACTGGGCTCACCCCATTAAAGCGCCATAAATTTGAAGGCCGATGATCAGTTATCATGTAACCGGCGGCAGTTCACACTGAGGTGATCCACTTCAAAGCCGCCCTTTGTTTTATGTCTTGATGTATGAATCCTGAGATGGCTACCTTGAGTTGCGGGACAAATGGAAATGTAGTGGAAATTATTTTTAAAAATCACACCACTCACCACAATGTATGTGTGTGTGTGAGAGAGAGATTTTTCGAATGTTGTTTCTAACTCTATGAAGGCTCTTCGGGTTCCTTTTGATAGTCTATTCTGTTGAGGTGATCTGGAACAAAATGGAAAGCTCTCAGTGGCAGCCAGTTCTTTCTTACAAACACATGCAGAGACGCATTACTCCCTTTAAGGGTGTCATAATCAATGTCACTATTTTACTTGGTGTCCACAGCCACTCCAGGCACCTTCTTACTGGTAGAAAAGAGACTCAGTTGGCTCCTGGGGAGCAGGTGGCTTTTAACACCAAAATCCTTGACTGGATGGGAGAAGCGGGAGGCAGGACAGTAGGGAAGGGCCAGAGCCTCCGCAGGGGGTAAGCCAAGTGGGTCAGAGGCACAGGGAAGCCATTTCCTCTCCTACTGCAAACAAGCCCTAAATGCCCCAGGTTCCCCAATCCCCCAGGCCAGGCCCACCCTTCTTAGGAGCAAAAGGGAGGGACTGTGCAGGATTGGGAGGGAAGC